GGTGACTGTCCAGTCTGCTCTTGAGGCTTTCCAGGGTAGGTCATTGCACCACTTCTGGAGGGAGCTTATTCCACAATCTGGACACCCTGACTGGGAAGTTTTTCCTAATGTTGAGCCTGAAACAGTCTTCCAGGAGTTCGTAGCTTACTCCTGGTTTTTCCCAAGGGAGCCCTGGTGAACAGTTGTTCACTGAGCCCTTGATGTACTCCCCTGATATAGCGGTAAGCTGCTACCAAGTCCCCTCTCAGCATTCTCTTTTCCAAGCTGAAGAGTCCCAGGTCCCTCAGCCTTTCCTCATATGGCTTGCCATGCAAGTCCCTGATTATAGAGGTAGGCTCTTCTCTGGACTCTCTCGAGATATGCCATGTCCTTGTTCAAGGGCTGCGTCCAGTTCTGGGCACCGCACTTGCCATGCAAGTCCCTGATTATAGAGGTAGGCCCTTCTCTGGACTCTCTTGAGATATGCCATGTCCTTGTTGAAGTGCGGTGCCCAGAACTGGAAGCAGCCCTCCATCTGTGGCCTCACCAATGCTGAGTAGAGCGGAAGAATCACTTCTTTGGTTTTGCTGGAGATGCATCAGTTGATGCATGCCAGGGTATTGTTACCCCTGCTGGCTACAACATTGCACTGCCAGCTCATGTTTATACTGTGGTTTATTAATATCCCCAGGTCCCTTTCGTTCGTGGTGCTGGTCAGTTTGGCACTAAGCCTGTAGGTGTGTAGGGGGTTGTTCATCCCCAGGTGGAGCACTTCACATTTCTCAATGTTGAATTTCATCTGGTTCCAACTTGCCCACCTTGCCAGCCTGTCTAGATCCGCCTGTATCGGTAGCCTATTTTTAAGCATGACCATACTTCCCCATAACTTGGCGTTGTTGGTGAACTTGGCCAGCGAGCTCTCTATCCCCATATCCAAATCATTGATAAAGATATTGAAAAGTACTGGACCAAGCACTGACCCCTGTGGCATGACAGCGGCCACTTCTCACCAGGACAACACAGATCCATTCATTAGGACTCTCTGGGTCCTACCCCACAGCCAGCTTCCTGCCCACCTGACTGTCTCGCAGCTACGCCCACAATCCTCCAATTTTCTCATAAGAACATTGTGGGATACAAGATCAAAGGCTTTCTGGAAATCAGGATTGGGCGCTGGTCTTGCCAGTGACCTTGTACTTCTGTTGATAAAAGCCGAGGTGCTCCCTTTCATTATTAACTGCTGCAATCGTATCTATGACCGAACAAATTGAGTGCGACACTTCTGGGGAAGAAGGCAAGATGGTTGCCCTGGTAACAAGAGACAGAGGTAGGATTCTGCATCCACTTCATCACTTTCGATTTTCTTTTTAAGTGCTGCAGCAGGGTCATTGAATTAAAGTTACAACACACCGTTTACGAGCATTAAGACCTTCCATAACAGTGCAAAGCACAGAGGAGATGATGAGCGATCCACTGGGAACTGAGAGGAGGTCTCTGGCTCTCGGCAGCATCTCTGTGCTGTCATCTCTGAGGTGCTTACAACAAGGCAGTGGAAAAAAAAATCATGAATTGAACCATCAAGGCTGGATGCTCCAAGCAGCTGGTTGGAGGGAGCAGGCTCCAAGACCTTTCATTATCACTCATGGGTCAGGCTGTAATCAGCTTGTAAATGAATAATTTGCTCCTGCATGGTGGGCTGGGAGAGTTTTAATTCATTCCATTTCAGCTGATCCTTAGTGCGACTGTGCAGCTGGCTCTGAAGGAGCTGCATGGACATGGAAGAGGCGGGGTAAGGCTAGCACATCTCTTGACCTAGAACTAAAATAATACCAAAAAATCTCCTTAATCACATATGTAATACTAGAGGATTTAGTTTTATGGATGAGGAGCTGCAGATGAAGGCACCTGACAGAAGCCAAAGCACTGCAGGCATGGTTTTTTTCCCCCCATCATCCAGAATCCATAGGGCTCATCACCTCTCCTATTTCATGCTGGGGAGTGGAGCTGCTGTGCTATGGAGAAAGCAGCTCAAAAAAGAACAGAAAAG